AAAAAAACATGGCGGAGCAATGAAGTGGTGGGCACAGAGCCCACTGCACAAAGCCAGGCACAGCCCCTTGCTACTCCTTAATTCTGTGAGTCTATGGATAATTCTATTGTACTGGAATGGCAAATTTATGGTTTTTGTTTAAAAAATTGTTATTAGATTTTTGAAGAAAGAGCTTATTGCTGTGAATATAAACATTGAAGCATCATGGTCACTCATCAGATACAGCAAGAAACATTTGTTGAGGGCCCTGTGCCTGGTACTATGCCAAATGCTTTACACAGATTTTCTAACCCAGTCTTTGTAACAATCCCTTTACAGATGAGGAAATGGAGGCCCTTGGAGGCATAGCTGCAGCTAGAAAGTGGCAGACCTAAAACTGAACTCAGCAGTCTGGCTGCACTTTGCTTAAGTCATAACCTCACGGTCCCCAAACCTCCAGAGCAGGTTTGCAGGTTGACCGGTAGAGAGGGTTAGTGGCAGGATCCCCCATGTAGCAATTGGCTACGGATGACCAATACGAAACTGCTCAGGCTTAATTATGGAACTAAATAGTCCCCTGCTTTCCCCAAGTAAACAATTCCACTTTTCTTTATTGGTCTGGGCAAGGCTTTTCAGTCTCAGAGAGTAAGGAGATACACACCCACTCTCCAAGGAAAACATTACAGAGTGAAGTATTTGTTTTGCTGTTTCACAAATGTAACATAATTCAACACCTATGTGTAAAGAGTAAGACTTTGGAAAATTAATTGAACAATTGGTACTGTTTTTTAGGAAAGGGATTTAAGATATAATAAAATTTACATGTTATAAAAATGAATCCATCTTTTTAATTGTGTATTGCAGATATAATTATATAATATCATTTATTAGGTATTCATTACAGGCCAGATACGGTGCTGAGCACTTAAAAGTACTATCTAATTTCACTCTGAATAATCTAAGTATTAATAGCCCTATTTAATAGATGAGAAAAATTAAGTTTCTCTGCGAGGGTTAAGTAAATTGCCTGAGGTCACACTGCCATTATGTGGTAGAGCTGGGAATAAAACTCAGATCCGCCTCTCACTCCCAACTGTGACCTAAATTCTTCTTGATATACTGCCATGGGATTAGACTGCTGTAAAAATATATAGTAGACCCTCTTTATTCGGTAGCAATTTAGGCAACCATTTTTACCTAATCACCTTTATTTGCACATTTTTGGAATATTTAGAAGTCATTTCTTTTGCAGAATGACTCCCTCCTCTCATTCCACCAACGCATATTCACAGCAAACTCTGAAAACTCCAGCTATGAGATGTGTCAGGCTGGTGGACAGAGAAGCATAATTTGGAAATATGGTATAACTTAATTCATGGTAGTGAACAGGATGAACCCACAAATTATATCATCTTCCTTGATGAAATTGGGAAAATTAATTATTTAGATCCCCCCCCCATAAAAGCTAACACTGGGAATGTGGTCTCTTCACCTGGTCTAATGAGAACTAGAATTCCAACAAAGAAAGCTACTTCTGCTGGAGAGAATGTTTCATGTCTTGGGGTGCATTTTGGCACCTTCTAAAATTAAGAAAAACTCTCCATTAGAAAAGCACTGTGGACAATGTCTGCTGGACATTTACTACTTTTTCCTGTCCTGTGCCCATTTCCCCTTCCTTCTGGTAGCAAATACTTTTTCCTTTCTCTCCCTTTAGAAGATAATCTTTCCTGTTTTGCATACGTCCTGATGCTTGGTACTGTAGCAACAAACTGCTCTAGACGCCCATGACTCAAGCCAAATGGCAGCAGGGCAGAACATGACAGTGACAGTTTGCCTCTGTGGCAGCAGCCTGAGAAGACTTCCATGTGCTTCTGTTAGCAGCTTGTTTTAGAGCTGTCCTTCTGAGCTCTGTTGTTTCAACCTTTCCTTCGGTTCTCTGAGCTGTCCGTATTCATTCAACTCGATTTTCTTGCTTCAGGCTCATCTATGTTGCTTTATAACCAAAAGTCCTATGACACAATACTGTTCTGTATTTTAGAATCGTTTTAGGTTTGTTTATATACACTGGAAAAATGGCAAATCTCTGTTCTTAGAGTGGGAATTATTTCAAGTGTGCGTCTATTTGGCTTTGTCTATTAAGAGGAACTGGAGGACTGAGAAAACACTCCTGGATGTGGCCATATGATTGCAAAAGAGTCAGGTCAGTTCACCTCCCCGGCCTTCATTTCTCAGCTGTAGCTTGAAGGGCTGGAAAACTCAATATCCCACAGCTTGTCTTCCTAAGGGCTTCTGGGCATGGTAGAAGGAGGGTTTCTTTCCCCCTTTCAAGTCAGACAGGCCCCACCGCGGAGACCGAAACCTCGGCGCCCTCTGCAGGAGAATATTGGACAGTGCTATTTTCAGGGAAATGAGTCAACAAGCACAGAAAGGGAGACTTTGTTTTAAAATTCTGTCGGTTTAGAAAGTGAAGGTAACAAACCCAGCCTCAAACACAGCAGCCCAATTGTCTCTTCAGTTTGCAATGCTACACCCAGTGTCTGACACGGAATGCCTGGTGTGCTCCACTCCCCAGCACTGTCGCTGCTCTCACTACACTGCACAGGCAGGGTACGGGAACACCGTCCCTCCCCACGCGGAGCAGGAGAGGTCCACTACAAAGACACGCGTGGGGTTTAAGAGCGACAGTTTCAATCAGGAGTCTCCCTAAACCTTATTCTTTTTGCTTCGCTAGCAAACCCACTTTCATTAACAGATGGGCAAAATTTATTATAAACCAGAGAAGTGTCTTAAGGGTTCATGGAATCACAGGCTTACTGCCTGCTGTGGGGGTGGGTGGCCCGGATGTACTCTAAGAAATAAAGCTGTTAGAGCTGCTTTGATTGCCGCCTCATTTTGTCATTCACTAAATCTCACTGGACCTGCAAGGAAAGCAATTGCCTTCTGGACTCATTCAAGCATAACAGCATCCCCAAGGCTATGAGCAGACCAGCCAGGGGAGGAAAGTTCTTCTGTTTGTTTGTTTGTTTGTTCAAACCTATCATTCCTTCCTTTACCTTTTGTGTGAAGGAACCTTGGTCCCTTTGGACCTTCGTATTCTGCTGGATCTCCAGCCTCTTTCCTATCCCTACATCCCAAAACCAAACTCTGAGTCGAGCTGTTATCACTGACAGAGGCTGGACTGTGTATGCCTGGCCTTAAACCTGCCTTTTACTTTCAGTTGGGGCATGGTCAGAAAGAAGCTTCTGCAGAACCCTGAAGCCTTCCAGGATCTGGAAATGGGTTGCTTCCAACACCACAGATAATACTTTAATTAATGAGTCCCCAAAGAATGGAAAATCAGACGCTACAAGGAAAGCTGTTTGGTAGCTCAGCTGGGCAGAGTAATGCACTGTTCTATGGAAGATGTATGAGGGGACGAAAAGCTAGAGTGAGCTGGGTCACTATGCTTGTTACTTACTTTGTGGAAATGTTTCTACTGTTCTGGTCCCCCTGCCTCTCCATCAGCATTCCCCTCAACAACAAAAGCAAGTTCTTCATCCAGGCACAGATGTGGAAGACTGGTCCTGGCTCTTTAGCAAACACACAGTTACTTCCGGGAGGAGAAACCACTACCTACCTGAGTTTTTGTCAGGCAGTCGGTTTATCCTCCACACAATGGAGTTGAAGGCATGCTCATACTTGGCAGTCCCCAGAGTTACTCTCATGACAGGCTCGGAGCCAGAGATGCTAGCTGAGCCAAAACTCGCCCCTCGGTTCACTTTGGCTTTCAAAGACTTCTCCCCCAGGACACTTTCCCTACGGAAGTTTTTCACCCACTTACTGGGCACTGGGTAACGCACCATTACATTCTCACAGGGAACCTGAGTGAGAGGGTCACGGTTGGAGGAGAAGCCTGGTGACATTCTCAGCCAGCTCTGCACCTCCACTTCTGCCCCACTGATGCTTGCTGCTGTCCTGAGTGTGAAAGGCAAGGTCTTCTCAGCAAACACTGTCCTGAACCGCATCAGCTCAAACCGGCAAGCATCCAAAGGGTTGAAGAGAATAACCCGAGAGTTGTTGAACACATCCTCATCCACGCACCCGTGAAAATGGCACTCATGGAGTTTAATCCATTTGGTGGTCGTGGTGGGCATGATGTCTTGCCGGGAAACGATTTCATTTCCTTTGATGAGAATGTCATTGAGGCCCAATCGGCATTCAGCAAGCCCAGAAAGGAAACTCAGAATGTGGATCCGAGTCAAGACATGGTGCTGGAGAATTTGGTTGTCTCCTTTGCGTATAATACCAGAGAATTCATCTCTGACATCCACTGTAATCTCCTCTTCAAGATAGTTCAAGCCAACGGTGCTCAAGTCCATTGACAATACTGGCAGATCCATGAGCCGGTCCTGAACTGCACGGATGAAGCTCAGGAAGTCATGATAATTGGTGGTGCCCAGCTTAATCACTTGTTCCCTCTCTGCTGTGTGGGCCACAGCGGGTTTAGGTTGATATTTCTTCTTCTCTTTGTAGGTAACGCGGTCTATCCGCAAGCTGTGGATCCTACCATTCTCATCATAGTTTTGAAGCCGAGGTTCTGAAACCTCATGGCAGATCTCCAGTTTGAACTCACGGAATGGTTTTTCTAGGCCCTGCTCATAATATAGCTGCAGGTAACCAGTGTCTGTCAGTTTGATGTAGATCGGTCCCCAGTGCCTGGAGGACATGATGTTTTTCTTCTCGGGGATCCTGAGCATCATCGGCCAGCCATCTCTGGGCTGAGTCAGTGCTGAGCTAGGTGAGTGAGCATCTAGTTCAATCCAGGCTATTGGGTCATCGTCAGGGAGTGCTGCAGTGCTGAAGTGATCGGGATCATCGATCTGGAGCTGTTTGAGTTTTTCAACAGCATCAGAGTGGGACAGGTTTTTGCTTGAATCATCAAAACTGATGGCATCCTGGTAGATGACAATGAGGGAATCTCTTTGGCTCTTCCCTGTGGTGCTGGAAATGGAACTTTTTTGGGAGCGCCTCTCCTGTTCCTCAAAGAAAGCACTGAAAGGGTTGATAGGGGAAGGCTGGACATCCTGGAGTGTCTCATTCAAAAAAGGATTGGTGGCCCTCCAAGGTGGTGCCTCAGTTGCAGAGGGTGGATGGTTTAGGGAGGAAATGTCCAGCTTCTGAACTTTGGAGAAGCTCATCAAAGTGCTCTTGGGACGATCCCTCTTGAATGACCCAGTTGAGTTATAAGGTACAACTGGAGTCACAGGTGTCACGAGTGATGTATTTGGCTTCAGAGGAGAGGTGACTGGTGGCAAAAGGCAGCTGACTTCATTGTCATCAAAAGTGACCCAGCTGGGGAAACGAGCAGAGGTCACTGGAGGGGCCGGGTGCCCATTCATGGGTGGACTGCTGGTTTGCCAGCTGATGGCTTCCATCTCTACCTCTTCATCTTCCTGAAGTGAGGAAGAATTATCTAAAAGGAAAAGGAGAACATATCAGGGGCTACCATTCTGAGTTATGGAAAACTGATACAGGGGAATGAGGATTACTGGAATTTTATCTAGAATTCAGTAAATTCCAAAGTAGCACATTACCTGTCTCAACTGGTCTGGGGACAGAGCTCGTGATTTTGCAATGAGAACAAAGGCAGGGCCATCACACTGAATAAAATGATAATACAGTGGATATTTCTTATACTTATTTCTAAGGTATATATTCTTAAGTTTTAAACATTGAAAACTACTTCCTATGTAAAGTAGTATAAACTGGCCTTATTAAAAAAGCAAGTTATTTTCTGTTGGTGATAATGATAGTATATTATATAAATAACACACTTGCAAATATTCTAGCCCACATAAGATCAATAAATATTAAAGATCAAATGTTAACACCCTTAATATGTATGTAAGTTCATGGAAATGAATCAGAAAAACAAAATGTCCAATGGAAATATGGGCAAAGACCATAAACAGGTAAATCATGAATGAGAAACTAAAAATGTCTAATAAAAGTGAAAAATATCCAGTCTTCATAATAATAAGAAAAATAACAATTAAACCAAAAAAAATCAGTGAAGATTTTAAAAGTTTTCAATATTTAGTGAGGGTAAGGGTACTATGACAGACAGGAACACTAAACAGACCCTCAATGGGAATAAATGGATAAAAATGCTCTGAAATGAGGTCTCACAATTTAGATTATAAGAAATGTTCATAAACAATGACTTAACAGTTCAACCCTAAAGAAATAAATCAGGGCTGGGGATTTAGCTCAGTGGTGCCGTGGCCTTCCTTGCAAGTGCAAGGTTTGAGTTTGATCCCTGGTACCACCCCCAAAAAAGAAATAAATCAAATTGTGAGCCAAGTTGCAAAAACAAATATGCGCATTTTAGAACTATTTATAACATGGAAAAATAAAGGGAAAATTTCAACTGTCCAACAATTGTATGAATGTTAAGAAACTGAGGCACACAATGGAATAATACCCAGCCATTAAAATGTTTATGTGTTCGAGTAATATGAGAAAATGCTCATGACATAAGCTTTTTTCCCTCTAGCATTTCCATCCTGGGGTTTATTTTAATATATTTAAAAAAAGATTACTACCAATAAAACTCTACTGTGGCATGGTCTTCAAGAAAGGAGACACTAGACTTAAGTCTTTTTCTTTTTTGTACTGGGGATCGAACTCAGGTCCTTGTGCTCCAAGATAGGTGGCAGAACCACTGAGCTAAATCCCCAGCCCTAGATTTAAGTCTTAATGAGGGAACAACCCAAACTTTTTCAGTAAGGACCCTGTGTGTCTGCACTGGTTTGGAAAGGGAGGGAGAGCGAGGAAAACGAGGCTGTTAGCAAGGAGGAATGGATTCTGATAAAGGTTTGGCACAGATAATAAATGTCTGACATATAGTAAACACTTAGTAGTTTATTGAGTGAGAAAAGAGACTTTGATTTGGAGTAGCTCTCCTATTTTCCATGTCACGGGAGGAAGTGTATGGGGTTCTTCTCTACCACCATTCCACCCATTATTTCTACTGCCAGGCATTTGGAATCAGAGGACAATGGATACTGAAAATCTACACTGTCATCAGCAATACCACACACAATTTTACATATGTAATCACACGTGCATGACTGGCTTGTCATCTGTCCTGCCAAGAAATGTATTCAAGTAGATAGCAATTCCTTTAATTAAAAGCATCATTTTGAGAAAGTAGGCTAAAGACATCTACCTCAAAAATACAAAGAGCACAGAGTATTCTCTACATTGCTCAGCACTACAAAAGGACTAAGACACTTAAAAACTAAAGATGAGAATCTCTTTCAAATTCACCTTTGTAGATGTGTGATTTATGTTCTGGGATAAGAAGGGAAAGGGATCAGGCAATAAACCAAATCCAAAGCGTTTGTACTTCATGTGTTTATTATTAGCAATGCAGGCTAAGAGGAACACTGGGACCTGAGTGAAATATAATTACCTCCTTGGGATCCTAAGGCATCGTTTCTAGAGAACTGGAGAAGGGGTGATCTCAGAACTCCCCACTCCTACCCAGCTAGTTCTAAGGACTTCTGCAGGGCAGTGTTTCCGCCAAACCACCCTGGGGCCCCACCGTGCTAAGGGTGATCTTTTTTCTAGCCTTGGAGCTCATCACCACGCCCTGGTTTAAAAAGGAGCTGAAATCCTCTTCCTTTGGAGAGTGGCTTTCTCCAAAGGATTCCCTTCTTTTGAAACTCTTGTCCTCAAATTATCATTTCTTGTCATCTCCCGAGCCAAAAAAAAAAAAAAAAAAAAAAAAAAAAGAGAGAGAGAGAGAGAAAGGCTTTTGTCTCTACTGAAAATCATTTTTTATAATAAATTCCTTTCAAATCAAGTTATTTAAAAATCACACCAAACTCTTCATAATTTTGTAGCATTAAACTCATAGTACAATGTAAATGAAATATCTTTAAATTTGAAGGAAAAAAACTTTTTTTTTTTTTTTTTGGTCCCAGGGATTGAACTCGGGTCCTTGAGTTTGCATGGCAGGCGGCAGAACTATTGAGCTAAATCCCTGGGCCAGAAAAATTCTGAATTAACTTTTAAAGATTCTATTTTCTCTCTGTCAGCCATTTAAAAACATCAAAAGATTGTTTCAAAATTCTCTCTCGACTGGAAGTTTCATGTCCCATAATTACAATAGTTTTAAAAACCTATCCTTTCAGGGTCAAGAATTTAGCTCAGTGGTTCTGCTGCCTGCCTTGCAAGCACAAAGTCCCAAGTTTGATCCCTGCCTTACTGTGCAGTCTTAATTTTGCTTCTTTTCTCATTTAACACAGAGACCATCTTCTATTTTTTTGTTTTGTTTTTGTTTTTGAGAAAAGATCATGCTATGTAGTTCAGACTGACCTCAAACTTTTTATGTAGCCCCAGCTGGCCTCAAACTCATGGAGATCCTCCTGCCTCAGTCTCCTGAGTGCTGGGATTACAGGTATGCACCACCACATTGACATACTGCTTTTATAAAGCTTGGGTCTTATATATTTTTAGCAGAGGATTACTTTGGCCTTTCATACAAAAATAAAATTTATCTGTATATAAATTTTCTGAGCATAAATATTTGCATTTTATGTGGCAAAGTTTATTTCCTTAATAAATGTTTCCTTAATAAAGTGAATATACTCTCACAAATAAATAGGATAAAGAGAATGAAAAATTAATGAAGGAATATAAATGCCTAATAACTATTAAAGAAAAAAGATTAACCTTATAAAATAAAATATCATTGTTCCCATAGCAAAGAAACAATGATTTAGAATCAATAATAATAGTGTTGTTGACAACTGGGGAAATTTACACTCTACTGGGAGTATTAAAATTTTTTCCTGAAGCTGGTAATGGTGGCGCACACCTTTAATCCCAGTACTTGGGAGGCTGAGACAGGAGGATCGCTGTGAGTTCGAGACCAGCCTGGGCTACACAGAGAGTTCCAGGTCAGTCTCAACTACAGTGACACCCTGTCTCAAAAAAAAAAATTTTTTTTTTTCCTGAGAGGGAATTTGAAAATTTGTAGATGAGTTTAAAAAAAAAGTGACTCAAGAATCAGGAGTTTATTCTAAGAAAACAATGAGACAAGCATGTAGCAATGTACACAGTGGCTGTTTATCATAGCAATGTGTGGGTCACTGAAAAATTATAAACAACCTAAATGCTCAACAATGGGAGATTCGTTATACAAATTGTTACACCGTTAAGATGGAATCCCATGTTGCCATTGAAATAATACGTTTGATGCATATTTATTCACACGAAGTCAACCATGATAATACTGCAGTGTGAGTAATATAAAGCAGGAACCTATAATCTGAATTCAGAGCCTTGGTTTCAATTATGTATTGGCAACTAATTAGCTATGTAACTTTGACTAAGTTTTTAATTTCTCCTGAAAGGCAAATAGTAAGAGTTCAGATTTCCCTTTCCACTATTAGAACGATACATTTCACTAGTATATATGTGTTAGCATTAGAAGGTAATATTTCATAATGTTTTGGTGTTAAAAAACAAATATCTCATGTGAAGTAAAGGGTATATTAAAAAATTAAAATTAAAAGAAATTAAAATTTCTGTGCCGGGAATAGTGGTACATGCCTATAATCTCAGTTACTAGCAAGTCTGAAGCATGAGGATCTCAAGTGAGAGGCCAGCCTGAGAGACACAAGCAAGGGTCTGTTTCAAAATTTTAAAAAAAATTTAAAGGGCTGCAGATGTAGCTCAGCGCTCCCTGGGTTCAATCTCCAGTAATACCTCCCAAAAAGTTTATCGATATTCTTCCCTTATAAAGACAATGCTGTATTTTTCCCAAAATAACGTTTAAACTATACCTTGACTGCAAATACTAATTAACCTTAAAGGATACAAATAGCTTAGGTATACCCTAGGTTGAGAAAGCAGCAGTTAGATCTTTCCTGTCAGTGATAACTGGTGCTACCAGTACCAGAAACAATGAGGGGGATAAAAGGCTGGCAAATTTCCCCAGTAAAAACAACCAGAAGCTAACTGTCTTGAGCACAAAGTTAACCATTATCCACAATTCCATTTTATTGACTTATTAAAATAAAACCATAGCCAAAAATCCAGTATTAGACGAGGCTTTCCTCCCACACCACAAGGAAAAGTTCAGGTACTTATGAGGTGCCTAGTACCCACGGATGCAAACTAAAGAGAATGGTGGGGTTTTTTTCCTCATTGAGTTTATTGGTACATTTTGAGGATACAGTACACTTAACATTCATCATTGGGATCTTGTACCCTTACATGACAGGTCTTGGTTCTCATTTTTTCCCCTTATCCCTGCCCTCCCTTCACCCTCTCCTCCCTTCCTTATTTACAAAAATTTTATTTCCATTTTTTCATTTTCTCATTTTTTTCTTTTTCCTTATTACCTTTCCCTGTGAATGGTGCTGTTTTAATGTTTTTGGGAAAGCAGGACAGAATCAC